TTATGTTATAAATTTATTCGATAAGACTACATAATTTGAAATTAGTGAGTAGATAAAGTTGTTGTACAAATTTAATTAATTTAAAAAAATAATTTTAATTTTTTCATTTGAAAAGTTAACAAAAAAATAAAAAATTGTACAAACTCGTTTTAAAAGAATTCTTGTCTCAACTCTTTATTCTGTAAGCAATTTTAATTCAATTAATTAACTAATATTCAAGACTGTAATAATTCTTTTCTTACCTCATAAATCAAACAAATTTAGAAATAAAATTTTTAACTTAAATTATATTTCTAAAAGTTTTTACTTTATGAAAAATATAACAAATATGTAGTATAATTTTTAGTTTCACATAAGCTCAATTGAAAATGAAAATAGTCAAAATATAATTATACTAAATATTAATTATTAATTGTAAGGTTAAACATACAAATTCAATGTTGTTACATTTGTAGTATATTCGGTCTTATCAGTTAGTTCCTTAACCAGAAACTTATCTAGTTTTTGAAGTATTTCCGTAAAAGTGGGTCTATCAGCAGGATTTGCATTCCAACAGGTCAACATAAGATCATATCTTAAAAGAGATAATAAAAAAATAATATAGTTAAATATTTTTTCAAATTAAATATATATTAATAAATAACAATAATCATTATTTAATATTTTTAAATTAGGAGAGAATTAAACTAAAGATAAATATGTGTACCATATCAACATATTATACTAAAATAATTTAATCATATATTAAAAATGTTCTAAATATCTCTGATTTCATTTCAGAGATATATTCTTTCGGACACAATAAATAGTTATGTTACAAATCAATCATTATCTTACAAAATTTAAATTTTTAATAATACTTTTGCAACTAATAGTTTATTAAGTAGCATTATCCAGTTAATTAAATTTTTTTTATATAAACAAAATTCTTTAGTGCATAAGACAACATTGTTTGTGCTGTAAATTTTGTTGTTGAAAATGTAATTCTTCTTTTTTTTTTGTTCATGACTTTTGCATTTGCTTTGCTGCTTTTTATTCTTTTGGCTTCATAACTTAACCGTTTCAACTCAAATTTGTACATCTAGCAAAAATTTTAAATCGTATAGTTAACTATAAATAAAAATACTCTTTATATGAATATTCTTAATATTAATTATACATTTAATTTAATCGATCAGCATTTTCAAAGCATTTCATACTATATCAGTGGTTCACACTGATATACATCAGTGGTCCACGTAGTTGGGTAAAAAGTGATCAGTGGATCAAATTTAACAAATTTGGATACATAGCTTGTAGTTTGTCCTCACTTATTAGAAAATAAGTACAATAATTATATACCTATTTTATGGCTTATAAAATGGACCTATGCACTTATACAATTCATTATGCATTATACCAGAGATGCATAAAAATCATATTGAACTTTGCGATCACTACTTAAAACAAAAATATCACAGTAGGTTGGGCGCAACTGCTGTAGATATAATTTATTTTTATTAATTAAATTTTTCATAAGATCTTTGAATTAGTTATTAGAAACCTCAAGCTCCTGTGCGTACACTACTTAAGTATATTACTAAATTCCTAATCTTAAGTTTTGGTTATTAACTCTATGTTCTTAACTCTTAAGTTATTATAAAGTTTATATATATTTTTAATATTAAATAAATTTGTTGAATTTAATATTTCCTTATGGTATATATTATGTGAATAGACTAAGTTCTTAAATTGTAATTGTAATTTATAGAACAAGTCATAATAATAATAACATAATAATAAAAAAAATATATATAATAAATAAAAGAAACTTACAGTTGTTGCTCGCAGTGAATAGGCTTGTCCATGCGGTGTCCACTTTTCAGATATTGTACCAAGCGATTTGTTGGTATTGCAGGATACGGTGAGCCACCCAATGTCACAATTTCATAGAGTAATATGCCATACGACCAACTGTTTTAAAAGAAAGAAATATTATTATTATTATGGCATTTATATATATATAAATATAATAATGTTTGATATGATAGTCATCTTGATTAAAGAAATAAATTATTATATCAACAAAAACTTTGACATATAAATCATGTACTTATAATCAATATGATAATATACTTATATTTAATCAAGTAGTTATAATAAATATAATATATATAATATACATAATAGTTTTATGATTATATGTTGAATTCAGAGTTAAATATTAAACGAAATTACTTTCCGAAGAACCTAATAGTAAAATGTAAAACAATATATATAATAATAGCTCATAGGTAAAGTCAGATTACTGTAAAAATATATTTTTCAACAATAATCTCTGAAGTTAAGTTTTAACTTCAATAACACTATATAGGTTACTTTAATACTTATACATATATTGTTTTAACTTCGATAACACTATATAAAACTTATATATTGTGTATATGTTTTGGAAAAAAACCGTGTGCTATTATTTCATTGGAATCAAAATTCTGTATCAAATCTACATATCATAATATTCTATTATTGTTGATTGTCAATAGTAGATTGTATTGAAATCTACTATTGACGAATAAAAAAACTACTGAATTTCAGGTTTTATACAACAGTTACTAATACTATCCCTTAAATTTATATTAAAACGCATAGAAACTGATCTGACCTCGTTAAAGGAAAATGATGTCCAAATAATATATTTTGATGGGCAACTTAAAATTTTTAATTTATACTTTGGAAGACAGTTCAGTACTTTCAGAAGTCAGAAAACATTAATATAACAGTTACTTGTTGGTGTCTATAGTGTTCTATGTGCAAAATGTAACTTTAAAAAGTTATTAAAGTTAATAATAACAATTAATTTAAAAAATTTTATCATAGAACATAAATAAACATATATAAATTTAATCGATAATATATTGACAAAATTCAATTTTATTTTAATTTTAATTAAATTTACCAAAGACATGCTTTTAAATATATTAAGCAATTTCAAAGTGTACAACAACAATTCAAGAAAAGATAAGTACAATAATTTTATGGTTACTTGGTTGCTTTTCGCATTAATATAACTAAAAGTTTTGACACACGTTCTAATATAAAAGGATTGCTAGGGTATCTCGAGGAACAATAGGGAACATCTTAAAATATCAAAGTTCTTATTTCTACAGAATTTGCACAGGACAAACAAAATTTTATAATGCCACCTGTACTCCGACAATTACATTGTTTGTACGACACGTGAAAGTGATGAAAAGCTCAGCATCCTTCCAAAGGAAAAGGATGCAAAGTATTTTAACTTGCCATCCGTTTTTAATGAAATTTTATGGCAGAAAACTGAACAAAAAACTTAACTTGTGAAATGTTCACATTTTTCACAAAAAAAAAAATCAAATTCCCTAAAAATTGAAATAGAAAAGGATTTACGCATAGGAAAAGGATACATTTACGTTTCATTATACTGAGTCGATTTATATGTATTTTTGTATTTTGTGTGAATTAATATTCCTTATGGAAAGTGCCTGGTGTTAACATTTCAGAGGTAAAATTAATAAAAAAAGCACAAAATTAAGTATTTTGAAATTTCTGCAAAATTAGACAGGAATTTTTTAATATTCCCCTTTGATTTGAGTATGTCCTTTTTGTTATTTGTTTAATATCTAATTTAGTGTAGAGAATTTGATATCAACGCTTTGCCATGGAACGAAATGTTACATTACTTTTGCGAACTTTTATTTAATGACTAAATTATTTTCTTATTAGGGAAAACATCGCAAAAATGAGGTACTTTCTATTTTAATGAAGGTTCAAATCCGCCATTCAATAGGCCCAACAAAAAAGGAATATGAAGCCAAAATCTGTTATCCCACTTAGAAAAGTTGTACGTACAATTAAATTCAAATTTGATTAAAATTTCAATAACAAATTTTAAATAAATTAAATTTTTTTTTTTTGCTGTACTTACACATCTGACTGTGTTGTATAAATTTGATGAGTTAATGATTCCAACGCCATCCACTTTATTGGTAATTTACCATTTCCGGTCTTTTGGTAAATGTTTTCTCGATACACATCACGACTGAGTCTAAATAGTAGTATATGAAATGAAATGTTTAAGTTTTGCATAAAATTATTTATTAATATAATTTTTTAATAAATATTTTGTTTTAAAAATATTATTAAAAAAATTAGAAAAAATTATAATTAAAGTAATTACTTACCCAAAATCTGCAATTTTAACAGTTCGGTCTGGCGTGACCAAAACATTTCGTGCTGCTAAATCACGATGTACCACTTTGTTCATGGAGAGAAATTCCTGCAAAAAAGAAAAAAAAGGTTAAAAATAATTTAAATTTATTTATTATTTATTTATTTATTTGTGAATTTACACCAAAATTCTTTTAAAGTTAACTACTAGGACTACTAGGTCCTTCGTCCTGCTAATTTAAATTTGTTTTGCGGACACGTAACGTATGAGTATTTTTTGAAGTGTGTAATTACTAATTAGAATCATTTTTGATTAATAATATATAAAAACTTTTTTTAGCTAACTTTTTTTTATTTTTCTTTTTGTAAATATCTAAAGGCAGTCAATAAAAAATTTATTACTGAAATATCATATGTTAAAAAAAATACACAATAATAGACCAAAATCAATGCTGTGACTGCTACCGTCTTACACAATTTGCACCATCGATTCATAAAAAATTATATTTTTGCTTTGTATATTTGTATTTGGAAAAATATTAGCACTGGTCCTTGCAAAATACATTATTTGATTTTTCGGTCTATAGTACATTTTGAATTGAGAACCACTACTCTAGAAAGTCGTAAAATAATCTTAGCGAACCCAAAAATTGTGTTATACATTGTAACTAAATAAGCTAATCTATAAGATTAGATAAACAAATATTGAAAACTAAAATAAGAGAACCTTATGGTTCACTCTTCTTATGATATTAGTTCGCCATTCCAAAGCATGTAAGCGATTCACTACTTTGTTCGTTGATTTAAGTTTATTTAGGTATACATCTCTGTAATAAGAATGCCGGATATGAGTCTACCGCTTAAGATTTATGAGAACGAAGTAGGAACGAGCAGAAGAGGACAGCACCCAAGAAACGATGGAAAGACAGTGTGGACTTATAGAAGACTGTTGTTAAACAAGCTTAGGTCCTACATGGACTGTATAGTCATGGATGATGCTGATAAAGTATACATGTCTGCCTTAACCTAAAAAATTTCAAATTAACTGCAAACAGTTATAATTTGATATATAATAGCTTGATATATTATTTTGTTGTCATGGTTTATTGTTAGCGAAATCTAAAAATTAGATTCTATTTTTGATATAAATATTAATTATAGGATTGGTACATTTGCGATACAGTATCACAATGTCTCAATAAAATTTTACTACTCTATTCTCTACCTATTATCGTTTTATAACTCCATGTAATAAACTATAGTTAAAAATAATACTTTTCCATTTAAAATGTATTGACTTTTTGAACACTTCATATTATATTATAGAATAATAAACTATAGTTGAAATAAGTATTTCTCAACCTAAAATGTTCTACGGATTTTTTGAACACTATATATTACACCTATGTAGTAATAAACAATAGTTGAAATCAGTATTTCTTAACTTAAAATGTACTACAACATGAAAAAAAATAGAATATATTCTGTGATGATCTGTATCAATACATTCCCGAAAAATATTATATAGTAAAAAGGAAGAAATAATATTTCACGGACCGATGATGTTATTGTCTCGAATCGACGGCTGAGAAACACTGGTTTAAATCACATACTCATTTATTAATCTTAAAAAATATTTCAATTGTAACTGTAACTTTTTAATATATACATATTTATTTAACTTTTTAAATACGCCCATATTTAATAATTAATTTATAAAATAAAGTATTTCTAATAAACTAAAAATGCTATTTTAATAAACGAATATTTAAAAAAAGCTAAAAACTTACCATGCCCAGAGCTACTTGTTTCGCTATATCCGCTAAATCACCAACACTGAGTGGTTCACGATGTACTGAAAACTGTAGGGCATCCACTTTTCCATCCAGTTTTGTATGTTCTTTCTGATTATTTCCATTCTTTAGCATTTGCTCAAAATAGGCTTTATTCTCTACCATCTTGATTTTCTTTGCCATTTTATGTTTCTCACATTCACAATTTTTAATTGCAATAGTCTTATTAGCAGGACCACTATTAAAGTATCTTTCAATATCGACATCACTAGATCCAATTTGATCTTGTGTATCCTTTATTGGGTCAATTTCATTATCATTGATTTGTGCTCCAGTATCAGTAATAATAACTTCACATTTACAGGTGCTGGTACACATTTGATCATAACCGTAGCCCACATTTGACACCGCCGGTGTTAGAATTGAAGCTTTTATTATATCCTCAATACGATTATTATAATTAACATTATTATTATTATTATTTGAAATTGATTTTATTCCTTTGGAATTATATTCTTGCATTTTAGTGGCATTTGTATTGAAATTTTCACTGTTTTCATTATTGTTGAAATAGTTTAGGTTTGTATTATCGCCAGATTCTTTACTGATTCCTTCATATCTCCCCTTTGAAAGTTCGGAAATAGTTCTCATTTGTGAATCATGTAAGTGTTTCCATTCGTCTCTACAATAAAATATATAAAATATATAATATATAAATATATTTAAAAATATGACTAACTAAGAACAACATAATAATTTTGATGTGTAAGTTATATTTTTTATTAATATTTTATATTTATGTTTTAGTTTATAATTAACATTTTTTTTTCTCTCTGGGTAACCACGCTTTGAGAAGTATATCTAGTATTATTGATTTTAATTAAAGAGTTCAAGAGTTTTGATGTATATATATATACTAGATAACCCGACAAACGTTGTTTTGCCTTATAAATTATTTCTAGTTTCTAGATAAATTCTAGTGTAGAAAAAAAGTAACCTACTTATTATAAGTGTGTAAGTATGAACGAAAAGGAAAATAAAAATAACAAACTCCAAACAATATTATTTTTAAGTTATTATAGTTTATTTATTAAATTATTAATTTAAAATCAATAGATTTGTATGATACCAAGTTCCCTGGCAACAACTGTTGTATCTTCAAATTTATATTGCCTTGGATTGACTGTAAATAATAATAATGATAATGGGCCAGTAACATTAACCAACAACAGTCGAAGATAAAAGCACTCAGTGTGTCTTGGATTAACTATAAATAAGCGTTCGATTTAAATAAATTGAGACATGCATCAACTGGTGAAACTTGCTTGCGGGGCATCCATTTTTTTGTTTGAGGCCATGTGAAATAGCGTGGTACTTGTGAATAGAGTAATGTTTTTGCAAAGGCACCAAAATCATCCGTACTATTAAACAATTCAAAAAATGCAGTGAGTGTAGATTTAGGTGGATTTGTACCACGATCAATCACTGTCTCGTTCGTGAAAAATACACGCTGACCGTTTTCAAGATGGACGGCTAACTGAACAGCTGCTGGATCCCGTTCATGAATTAGAAAACCGAAGATACGCCAAGCAGCTTCATTGGAGCTGATTACCGACCAATTTGGTAGAGTGTAATTTCACCGTTTTTGTTCATTGGAGGAGCATTTACATTAGTATTTTCTACTCTAAACACAGCCATATCACTGCCTTTATGGACATACTTATATATTTGATGCTCTTCACAGAACTGCAAAACTCAACATTAATATGAGCATTGTATGTCTTGCTTAGCAGAGGCGAATACGGCACCACCCGCCATTGTCCCCCATTATCGGGATTTCTTCGACGATATATTGGATATCCGTCGGTATTTGTTATAGTATCATTAGTGAAATCTTTAGAAAAATTTTTAGTACATTTTCCATCTGCCATGCAAGGCGAAGACGAAGAACGAAGTGGATGTAAATGCTCGATGTACTTGTTGGCGTATTTACATAAAATATTAAGAAAAAAATTCTTCTTTTTCAAAACTATAAACAAAATTTATGTCAAAAAAATAAAAAATTTTTTGTTAATGCAATAAGGATATTTTTTGCTGGGTAGGGACTCCTTTCGCGGTATGAAAAATAGATAGTAGCCGATTCTCAGACCTATTAAATACGCATATAAAATTTGGTAAAAATCGGTAAAGCCGTTTCGGAGGAGTACGGTAACTAACATTGTGACATGGAAATTTTATATATAAGACCGCAAACAGGCATCGTTTGGCCTTGTGACTTGTTGATGGTCTTTGCAAATGCCAATCTAATAGGAAATTAAATTGGCTTGTCTGTGAGAATCATTGGAATTCGTGGCAATAAAACTTTTTCGTTTCGGAACTTGCCATTCAAAATGGTGGCTTCGATAATGTTTTTCATGAATTTTTTGATTACCAATCGCGTACTATTGTACTATTGTATTGTATGTGTACATCTGGAAATACGCGGTCAATGAGAGCATTTTGGGAATCAACGATAGTGCGGAAATTAGGGGGCAGTTTTATGAATTCAGTATTTTCATAGACAACAACTTTTCATATCATAGCAAGTTTTCTTATTCAAAAATGTAAAAAAATGTATGTCAAAAAAATACAAAAATTTTTGTTAAAGCAATAAAGATATTTTTGCTGGATAGGGACACCCTTATCACTTTAGCGGTATGAAAAATAGATAGTAGCCGATTCTTAGACCTACTGAATACGCATATAAAATTTGGTAAAAATCGGTAAAGCCGTTTCGGAGGAGTACGGTAACTAACATTTTGACAACGTTAATTTTATATATAAGATATATATATTAATGTGAAAGGCTTGCATATATTAAATCTTGATTTAAGTATTATTGCCCATATGAATACTTCTGTAATGGATTCAACATTACAGGAGTATTCATATAGATATTCTTAATCCAAATATAGAATAATAATTCGTAATCTTTATAAACTCTTTATAGAGCAACGTTTATCAAGGCAAGGCGTACCTACATAGGGAAGTATGTTAAGAAAGGTTTTTTGTAATTACAGGTTAGTCGACATTGTTGAGTTAGGATAACATTATCCAGTAAATCTCACCGCTTACCTTAACGAACTAATATATCTGTACACAAGTGAAAGTAAACAATTATTTCTGAGAGCGATAAAGGGATACTGTTTATCTTTCGTCGTTCGCAAAGTTATATATATTTAAGTAATCTGCTTACACTTTACAAGTCTCTTATCATACCTGTCCTGCTGTTTGGTGCAGAAGCTTGGATAATATTTAACTAATCTGCTTACGCTCTACAAGTCTCTTATCATGCCAGTCCTGCTGTATGGTACAGAATCTTGGATAATTACCAACAATGATAAGATGGCGAAAGCAAAATTCCTTATGCGTTGCGAGTATAGATTTAGATGGAATGATCAGATGTACCAGCTATACACTGAGAATGACATAATTTAGCGTATAAAAACTCAAGAGCTTTCTTGGCTTGGTCATGTCATGTCACCGATTAAAAAGGTGTTTGATTAAGTCCTCGCTGGTGGAAAACGGGGTAGAGGACATTCGCATATTCGGTGGAACCACCAGGTCACTAACTCCTAAAGACACTTGGTACTTTCAACTGGCAATAGAAAGCAACTGATCAGACTAGCTGGTGGAGGCTATTGGACACAGCCAAGGAGAACTCAGGTTTGTAATGTCTAACTAAGTAAGAAAGAAATGACGCTTGGGAGGATAGTGGATACATATATTTTTTAAAATGTTAAATGGGGCGTATCGCAAAAACAGTTGATTAACACTGATAAAGAGCAAAGTAGGTATTATCCTTTGTTAAAAACTCAATCATTTCAATAATATGAAAAAACATTATCTAATATTTTTCCTAAAATTCATTCAAAACACAAATTTCAGACTTAATAATTATTTTCCAGACATAAAAGTCCTTTTTAAATCTAAAAGTACTAAATGAATAACAAAAAATTACACAAATATTTCCTGAAAATTTTTAAATCGAAAATACTTAACGCTTCTTAAATGAAATGCAAAAAGGATAAAAAACAAAAATGGAATTTTACTAATTACCTTTTAAAATTTCAAGGCACATATTTACTTAAAATTGTTACTAACTAACATTTTTTGTCTTGACAACGAGAGGTAGACGCAAGGATAAAAAACAATAACAAAAGCTAAGTTAAGTATTCAATATGCCCTCCTTGTCACGATTTCAAATAGCTCAGGATATAATGAGTGGACAAAATGGCACCCACTTCCTTTGTGTTGGCAGGAAGCCATAATAATTAGAAGTGAAATGAAAAATGTTTTTGTAAGACATGAGCATACATTAATTATTGTTCCAATTTTCTTTACAAATTACAGGTTAAATGCTTCATTTTTAATATTCAGAATATGCAATATTAAATAATATTTAAATAGGCAAATAAAAGAAGTGAACAATGGGACATTATACTATAGTTATGTATATTAAAAAATTCTTAAAGTATTATCAATTAGAGAATTTTCATAATTTAATATTTATTTCTATTAAAAAGGATTTTAATATTTATTAATTATTAGGAGTTAAAATATTAAAATAAATAACCAGAGACCCATGCGATGTAAGGCCACTACTTCAACCTAACAAGAAAATGAACAAGAACAAGAAAATGAACAAGAACAAGAAAATGAACAAGAACAAGAAAATGAAAAACTAGTCTATAAATCCACAAAATAACAAGAGTAATAACTAATCATTTTTTTCCATATATTCACGACCTAAAGGCAGAAATAATCTCTTGGATTATTAATATTTTATAGTAAAAAGACGGTTGCTGTGTTAATGAATGAACCTCTTCTAAACAATGTGATAGATCGAAAACGAAGATTTTTCCATAAATTAAAAACAGATTACAGAGTTTTGGTCGACGATATAATAACAGTAGCTGCGCCTATGAGACACCACTGCCTATTTTTTTTACCTTTTTCGATTTCTAACTATTCCCGTGCTTATATTTTTTTTTTTTTATTTTTGTAAAAACAACACTTTTACTTTGCCACTTAAGGTTACATATAAATTCAAACTGAACATACATTTTCATATATACGATTAAAAAAACTCTTCAAGATACCCAGAACTATGCTTTCATAAATAATTAATTGATAATTATAATTTATGTACATATTATAAATTTGAAAAAAACACTTTATCTCCTGATGTCAGACCAGTGGACTGACTATAATATTATAAAATAATGTTATAAAATATTTATTTATCGAAATTGAATCAAATATAAAATAACCTAAGTGCTAGAAACTGTGTTTAAGTAAAATTAAAGGCAAAATTCTGAGAATTCCTTCTTTAAAATTTTACTCACCTCAAGAAATCAAGTAGATTTCCAAAACTACAATATTCAGTCAAAAGCATCATACCATTTTGGCACTTAGTACAGTGCCCAATGATTCCAACAATGTTCGGATGTTTATCTACCGATTTCATTACTTCAATTTCTCGTCGGAAACCACGCATATCTTCCAGTGAAGGTTGATCTATAAAATTAAAAAATTCAAAATAAATTTTATAGAAGTATAACAAATATTACAATATATATATTTACTTCTTTACTATATATATATATATATATACCTATTTAATATATACCTATATATTCATATGCTTTTATTTAACATTTTATTTAAATTTAAATAAATAATAAGAGCTTTTCAAAAAGTATATAAATTATTTTGTTATGAGATTAAACCTATTAAATATACTAAGTAGAATAAAAACAATAATAAATATACAAACAAATTGTGAAATTTATAAATTAGCAAAACACTTACCTTTAAGCATTTTAACAGCCACTTCACGTGGACCTGAATTCTTGTCCTTGTAAATGCCGCGGCGCACAAAACCGAATGCACCCTCACCGAGAATTTCCAACAGTTCAACATCGTGACGGTCAATTTCCATGTCATCATTAAAAATTGTAACATCATCAAAGTGTGGCTGAAAATTGGCTAATTCCTTAGTAGCAACAGTAAAGAGGGTATTTTTAGGATAATCTGTAACAGATTTATCAGTAATTGGAGTCTTCCTCTCCAGTTCCTTAAAATATATTTAAAAAGAATTTTTTTATTACATTGTTTATATTATTTTTGGTTAAATTTTTGGATTATTTAATAATTTTTTTAATAAATTACATTTAAACAAAATAATAAAATTATATGAAAATCAATTTATTATTAAAAATAATTCTTACCTCAAAATATTTACTACGTTCTTGATGACGTTTAAGTTTAGCCTTTCTGTAGTAAATTAAAAATATAGTCAACCCTATTATTACCACGAATAATATAGAAGCCAACACAGCGGACATGATATTTGTGAGATCGTTGTTATCTAAGGATTCAATGAAAGAAAATATAATATTAATATATTTAGTTTATTAATTTTTTTAATTTATTTTTTTTTTTTTGTAGTTTTAATTACCCGATATCATCACAATCGTTTTAATTGGAGTATCTATATAGGCTGAAGTTTTTCCTCCAGCTGTGAAAGCTGTTAAATGAATTTCATAATGACTCCCATAAATAGTTATTTTCGGTATAAGAAAATATGTCGCTGCCTAAAAACAAATAAATAATACATTTATTATAAACACAAAATAAACAAATAATATATTATTTTTTTTAAATATATTTATTCTTCAACAACTTGTTTTAAATATTCACTAAAATTTCAAAAATAATCTACTACTTAAAAATCATATATATAGGGTTTGCTTATAATTACAATGCTATTAGGTTTCTCAGTTGAAATAGATCTAAACTAAGTTTATTCACTGATTTGTAAACTGAACACGTCACTGTTAACTATCTTATTGAATGTTGTAAGATTCGAGTTTCCCGATCTACACCATCCTACGTAGATCTCTTCTGATTATAAGAACATATTACTTTCTCCAATGCAGGGTTGAGAAGATAGTTAAGTTCGTTAAAGTTTACAGTCAATATACACTGTCGTGTTTATTTTATTAAGGATGTTATATATTAAGGATGTTGAGTTCTCTCAACAATACGTTTAATTCGATCTGAATATGCCGTCTTAGTTGTCCTTAAAATCTATGAAGCAGCATATTGAATTTTCATCATTTTTTATCTCCTGTCTATGATTAAGATTTGTTTAAATATTGATTTGTTGTGGTCAATATTTGAATAATAAACTTTTTATAAATATCGTCCAACATAAACATTACTTCTTGGTAAGATTTTTCCCCGATGTTCAATTTAATTTTAGTATTTTAACAAAAGGTCAGTTAATCAACCCTAATGCATATGAAATAGAAGACAAACGTGAGTTAAAACATCATAAAATACTTTCAGTAGGCAATGGTATAAAATCATGGTCGAGAAACATACTATTCAGTCAGTGGTGAGGTCTACACATCTGCAGCAAGCCGTTCTCTTTTGCCACATGTTGACAACTAGTTGGATAAAACAATGTTCTTGCTATCCTATAAACAAAACGGGCATTATGTATTGTACTTTCAGCAGCAGACCCATTGTACTTTAATTTATCAGCGACCTATTCTCCAACAAGCACTTCTATTTTTTTTAGATATAGTAACTCGACAGGTTAAGCAGAACTCTTGCTATGCTTTTACAAAGACAGACATAACGAATTGTTTTTTCAGCAGGAAACTAATGAATAATTTACCAGGGATCCATTCTCCAACAAGCTGTTATATTTTGCATTGTGTTGACAACTAACCACATCCTATTACCAAAGCGGGCATAACGTATTATATTTTCAACAGAGAAGTAATAAACAATTTACCAGGGAGCCATTTTCCAACAAGCCCTTCTATTTTTTTTAGATAGGGTAACTATTCAGATAAATGCTCTTGCTATCCTATCACAAAGACGGGCATAACGTATTTGACTTTCACCAGAGGATTTGCTCTGGTATTAAATGTTATATTTTAATCAGGAGAATAATAATTCCATTTCTTATAGGTATGGTAACTAGGTATGGTAACTAATCAATACTCTTGCTATGATTTTACCAAGAGGGACATAGGGTCTAATAATTTTGTAAGGAAAATAATAAACAATTCACCCCTGAGGATAAAGAACCCCTGTGATTTGCAGAGTTACCCCATTTTTCTTCTTTAAAAACTAGTGAATTTATGACTTTAAACTATTTGTTTTATACACGAATTATATATATATATAACGTTTTTTATATTGTTTATTATGTTTTGACAATAATTGCACTAACATAGTTGCTACGGTAGACTGACTGTCACTTACGAAATCTCCATGGCGGGAAAAATTTGACAATAAATGGCGTAAATTGCTTTGAATTTTTGTAAATATTTTGCAGTTTTACGGCGTACTTTGATACTTTGACGTACGCACAGAGAAATTAAAAGCTTATTACGTCTTTGAAATAATATGGAATTCTCAAAATGCTTGTCCTGTGAAATTTCAATATAAATTCTTAGAAATTCTATACAATAACAAAATCCAATAATAATGCACAGATAGAAATTTTTCTTGGAAAAGCGAACGAAACTTAATTTACGGTTGTAACAACATTGCGATTTTATTTTTAAATCTTGAAATTTGCATTTAAAAACTCAAACAAAATTTCGATTTAATAGAAATAATTTATTTATGATGAATTTATGAAATTTATGCGAAATAAATAAGATTAAAAAAAACCTCCGAACTGCAAGTTTTGTCAGTAAGTCACAAAGCAAAGTAAAAATCAAGTACGTGATGTTATTATTTATAACGGCTGATACTACTGTATTACTGATACTACTCAATTTTAATATAATTCCTATATAATTTTGATAAATCAAGCATTTTACTTACCTTGCTGACGTTAAAGGTAAAAGCATTGCCTTTTTCATCTATATCCATGATGCGCAAAGTGTAGTAATCCGGGAAATACTCAGGCTTATTCCAGCTTATATTTACGGAAAACTCATTTTCACCAATAAATATTTGCTCTGCGTCTAAGCCAGTCGGTGCGAGAGGTGCTATTTTATAAAAAATAAAAAAATACATTTATGTAAATTGAAATCTAACATTTTAATAAACAAATAATAATTATAAAAAGGTTTCATCTATATGCAAATATTTAATTGATAAAACTTTGATGAAACACAGCATCAAAAAGGTTTGCAAATATCATCCTTTATCACCCTTTGCATTGCTCCGAATTTTACTGGCATTTTAATATAACACTTATGTTTAATTATTTTTTAACAAATTTAAAAAAATTAAATGTTTAATTAATGTTAATTTAAAAAATTTAAAAAGTTTAAATGTTTATTATTTTAACAAATTTAAAAAAATTAAATGTTTAATTATTTTTTAACAAATTTATAAAAATTAAATGTTTATTTAACATTTTTTAATATGTTTAAAAAAGTTAAATCTTTAATTAATGCTTAATTATTTTTTAACAAATTTGAAAAAATTAAATGTTTAATTATTTTTTAACAATTTTAAAAAAATTAAATGTTTAATTAATGTTTAATTATTTTTTAACAATTTTAAAAAAATTAAATGTTTAATATGTTTAAAAAAATTAAATCTTTAATTATTGTTTATTTATTTTTTTATAAATTTAAAAATAAATTTTGCATTTTTCGAAACCACTTTAAAAAAATTAAATTTCAAATTAATTTTAAATTTAAGTTTAATAATAACTTTAATACATGTCAACTTACCACATATATTAAAATCGTAATTATACCATTCAACACATGAGGGTACTACAAAGTTAGACCAGAAAAGTTCACTTTCCCTTGAAATGGTGTTAGGATTTTTGGCACGTATACCCAATGAGTATTCCATAGAGAAATGTAAATTTTCAAGCGTGTATGTATATAATTGACGTGGCTGTATTAAAATAATCAAAACAAATAATTAATTATCAAATAATTAGCTTTTTTTTACATTGCTTTAAAATTATAATTAATTTAAATTTTAAAGTATTTTCTTTCAACATAATAAAATTAAAAATAAAAATTCTTTAACGTTATACAAAATTAATTAAACTAATTAACAAATTCAGTAATAATTTCAGTTATAAAAATGTTCATACTCTGAGTTGATTCGTATATATTTAGAACTCATATATCAGTATATTATGAACCTATCTCAAAGACGACTAAAGGTTGCTAATGTAAATTCTGTAGAGAGTAGAACAATATATCTACTCATACATTAAGCATTTGTGGTTATCAGGAAACTAATTCCATATCCTTAACAATCCTTAACAACACTTCCTCAAATCACAAAAAATTTGAAAAACTAAACTAAAAAGTGTTGTATTGTTAATTAGTAGCCTCAACTCTATCTAAGTTAAATTTGGAATACTTTTTCAGGGAGAGATGACCTTACAGGTTGTGGTTTTTGTGGTGACTAGATATTAAGAAATTATGTGTACAATGAAATTATTTTTCTAAGTCTCTTTAAAGGGCTTGGGTACTTCAGGATGACCTAACAAAGGGACCAAGTAAAACTTTTTTAAACTTTTCATTCACATTATTTTTAAGTTTTCTTTTTTATTCTATTTTATTCTGTGCCTTAATTAGCAATGATAATTAAAGCAAATAATATAATATATAGAAGCCAAAATTTAAATTTAAATACGTAAACATGGAAGTATTTATATTTTAAATAGAATACAAATATCCTTGTTTTGTTTTCATTTGAAATATTTCACATTCTTAAGTAAATAAACATACACAAAACATCAAAAGGACTTGGAGATTTGTGAAGCAACAGTTTATTTGTACAGCGACATGAAAAGGATACCGTTTTCAATAGCTTTCGAATTTGTAGAACAAATAACGTTTTGGGTCTTGAGTCCCATTTTACCCATTTTACATGTCTACTTATGCAATGAATTGAATTTTCGACTAGTCTGATTTCATTTCCTTTTCATATTGAATATCTGCATATTTTATTTGGTAAAAAATGCTGCCCTTGACTATACACTTTGCATGTAGTTCACATGTACTTACATATATACTATATATTAAATAAAATAAAGTTACCAATTTTTTTGTTTTTTTTTGCAACTTTTGGTTTAAATCTGAAGGAAAATTTTCAATGGCGCTATGCGATAGTGCGGTATGCGAGCCATCTAAAAATGCATAGAATGTATAGAAATGAATTCTACTGCCCATTTCCTTTTACTATAGCTAAGTAGATATGTTAGAAGGATGCCTACACACATTACCAATCAGCTAAGCATTAAATGGTTAGTGCGGGTAACGTACCGCTAAACGCCCACTTAAATATATGCAACTATTGTAAAAATTTCTAAAAAGGAAAGCCTACAAAATAGTTGAACTATCAGGTTTGTGCAAATCAGTACACTAAAACAGAAAATATTTAAATGTCTTTGCCTCAGAAAAAAAATGATAAATTTGAGGCTGTAATTAAAAAAAGGAGGATTGCTAACTCCTTTTTTTTGAAAATCTATGACTTAACTGACTCCTTATTTTGAAAATCTTAGTTTAAATACTCCTAGTTAACATTATCAAATTGGATACATCCTACTTTGCTTTCGTCAGAGTGACATCATATTCACCAGCAAAAACCATATTGCTGGTGAATATGGTTTTTGCTTGTGGATCAACAAACTACTAAAGTTCATACTAATAGTCTAGCCGTAGTGCCACAAACAATAGTGCCACCTAGCACTAATGCCACCAATTTTGAAAGATATATATTTCTATCACTATTATGCTCGACACAAGGTTAGTTCAGCTGCTACAGCTATTGTACACTTGAAACCTACCATCTTTCTTATTTCTTTCTTATTTCAACAAGAATGAAAAATGAAAGTATAGATCTGCCATAGACATCGGTCTATGCCAGATTTATTCATACTAACATTTTATGAAGAAATGCTATTAATGAAAATGAAATTGTATAAATTAAATATATAAAATATATAAATGTAATAATTTATCTCATATTAAATTATAAATTATATATATAATTATATATAAGTGTGTGTTTAAGAAAAAGAAAGTCATATAAATTAACTATGTATATAACTTACATTTCTAATTTCCAAAGGATTCAAATCATTACCTCCGCCTGTTACCGGAAAGCATATAATATCATATGTACATGTCATATCTATAAATATAAGAATAATTATGTATTAATAAAATAAATAAATTAAATTAAATTAGTAAATTTAATAATTGTTCTAAGCAAAGTAAAATATGAAATAATTTCGAAGAAAAAAAATACTTTTTATGTGATAAAAAGATATTAATGGATTTAATCGAACAATATGACGGGACTGTCATATGAAGAGGTAGTTACCATCTTACAATTTTATTTCTATATTTTGTATATAAAATACATTCAAATGAAACAATTGAGATAAGTCACCCTTCTTGTTAATTAGAGACAATAGATTTAAAAATATGGATATGAAATATGAATATTTTCTTATTGTTGGGTTCAACCCATCATTAACATGGCTTTAAATACCAGAAACAAGGAATAAGGAAAGGGAAAGAAGCTAGTATAAAATTAGTATGAAATAGACTTGTTTAACTGTTTAACTATAATTTAATTTAAATTTAATTTT